TGTTACTGCAGAGCTTGTGCTTGGCATCCCTGCTCTAGGGTTTAATCCCCTGTAACCTATATAATCCTATGTGAAACAGAATACATCCCCTTTGTAGGACACAGTGAGAAACGACGTCCCGGACGAACAGGGCGCAAACTGGAGCTGTACCTTGGCAAAGAAGGGAAGGGCTGGAGCGGGGCTCCCAGCGGGAGCTGGCAACAGGAGAATCGCCTGGCAGGGGAGGAAGGGGAGGCAGGGGAGGAAGGCAAGGCTGGCCGGGGAGAAAGGGGAGGGAGAGAGGAAGGGAAGACCAGCAGGGGAGGAAAGGGTTGAAGAGGAGGAAGGGGAGGCTGGCAGAGGAGGAAGGAAGGGGGAGGCTGACAGCGCAGGCAGCAAGTACCAGGCCCAGCAGGCAGGTCGCTGTGTGCTGTCCCGTGAAAATGGCCTTGACGGGGAAAATGAAACTAAATAAAGCTAATTACAGATGCAGGCAACTAACGGTGCGGAGCTCGGCCCGTTAACCGGGGCGGAGGGGCCGGGAGGGAGCTCGGCCGTGCAGCTGCGAGCGTCTCGGCGCCCACCCACCCGCTCTGCTGCCGCGGCACGGGCACGACGGGGACGCCCGGTTCAGGCACCGGGTATTTTTCAGAGCTAGCTCTGCCTATAGAGAAGGTCGTCTGCGCAGACACCGGCTTACCGGAGTTATTTAAGAGAAATCTGGGCAGTGAGGAGTTGATACAGAAAACTTGGTGACCGGACCAACTGCCTTGAAAATGCCCAGCGTACTGATGTAAGCGTACAGAGAGGAAACTGCCTCACGTATTTCTTTGTGATAGAACAGAAACAGGAAGAGCAACAAACGATCCATTACAATGTTCCTTCCCAGAGACTATCTAGGCGTGTGCAACCAATGCTGAAGTTATCTGAGCAGTGCATCTGTACTGCTGCTGCTTTGTATAACGACAGGCAAAGCCATGTAAGTCAGGCAAATATAAAAATACGGTGGGATACCAATCATTATGATTTTTTTACTGATCTGGATTAAACTTCTTTGAAACACGAGTGTAAATTCATGGCATATTTTCCTGAAAGGAAAAAGAATGTTTCTTTATGTCCTTTCAGTCTCCGGTTTCTATTAAAAAAGCCCCAAAATACAAGCAGAAGATACCACAGAGCTCTCGCAGGCGGTGCTGTGCCTTCGCTTCCTCGGGCACTCGGCGCTCGGCCGCTGCCCGGGGCAGCTCCCGAGGGGGGCTCCAGGCACCCCCTTTCCTGCGGGGTCAGGAGTGCTGCCAGTCTGCTGCAGGGTGCGATTAGAGCACACAAAAAGAAAAGTTAATTATATTCATGCCAGGCTGTATAATAGAACAAGAAGCCTTAGGAAGGAAACAGCTGGAGCGCAGATCTCTCGAGCAGGTATCATTATTCGTCTCCCAAAGTAAAGTGAGGAATTATCCATTAAAGCTGAAAAGCACGTTATCACCTCATTTCACATAAACATAACTCTGTGCTTAGTTCAGCTCTGAGTACAGACTGGGGAAAAAGGCTAAATTTAAAGTCAAATTTCTTTTAGGCTCCAAGTCTAACAAATTTCAAAGCAAACAGCAAAGCGGCTTGGCTTATTCTGTTACGGATTGAAGGATGTGGCGGATGTAAGTCTGAGCGATCATTTGAAATTTCAGAAGTCAACAGAAGCTCAGTATCTATAAATGAATAAAGGTAGCATTCAACTGCAGTGGAGATGCCACTTTAGTACTGATATTTTTAATTTGTAAGGTAGAAATAAATGTATTCTGGAACAACTGGGTATGGTTAACAAGTGATGCTCAGAATTATAAACACAATGACAAGATTTGGTGGGGGAAGGCAAGCACGAGAGGGAGAAGGTGGAAAGGCAAAGTTCTAGCAGATCTACAACCCCCCGGTGTGTTTGGCAGAAAAAAAATGAAGTTGGAACAAGGTGTCTGTGCTGATAGAGATGTTTAACACAAGCGAGTTACGCCCCTGATACTGGAGATAAACCCTTCGCCTTTTTCCTTGTCTTCTCTGCTGCCGATGCGCCTCGCCGTTCCCTTGCAGTCTGCTGTTCACCTTGGCTGGGGATGAACACCAGCCTCGCAGCCTACAACGGCGCGTGGCATGGGAGTCCAAATCCGCCAAGCAGAGAGAGGCTGAAATTAAACCATGTCTGATAATGGGAGTGTGCTGGGGGGAGGAGGCGTGCGCTTGTTTTCCAGGAGCAGGGCACCACTGCACGACCGCTGCTTGTCACAGCATCCAGCCCCGAGGGGGGCTGTGGCCACCCCCAGCTCCCAGCTCGGACAGCGGGGGGTTAGGAGGGTCTGAAATTCAGAGGGAAAGCGCCAAGGAGCGTGAGGTGCAGAGGAGAGAGGCGTTGGGAGTGTCGGGTGTTTCACACAAAAGGAGGCGAGCAGGAGGAGAGGTGTGGGGCACGGGACACCCCGAGCAGCCCTTCGGTGGAGTGCCCGTGCTGGCCTGGGGCACTGCCCTGAGCTGTCTGGGAGCTACAAGGGAGATCTGACCAAATTTGAAAACTTAACCACAGAAAAGCCTTCTATAGTTTTTTGTGGTTTCATTTCTGAGGTGCGTGGTACCCAGCTCCTCGCAGCGGCCCCTGAAGCCCTTCTCCTGCCATGCGTGCCCCCGCGCTGTCGTCCCTGCCGGTGAAGGACCGATGCGTATCAACTGCGGGACTTCAGAGTTGCCTCCTTAGAGACATTACAATGTCTTTTTGGCGCGGTGTAGATTATGCTGGCAGCAGAACTCGTTCATAGGATTCGCACGCTTTCTCTCCGTGAACACTCATTTATTCGATGGCTCTTAATTTTCACAGCCAAAGCGAGGGGAAAGCTCTACGGAGGTGGAGCTGCGAGCGTTTGACGTGTCTATTTGATAGTGCTTTCCGAAGCTAAGGGCGGTTAAAGCCTCCGTGGAAGCTCCCCGTGGTGACGGTTGTCGCTGCGGAGAGGCAGGAGCGCAGTGCTGGCAGCCGTGGCTAGCTGTGCCGCTCATCTGGCAACCTGGGCCCGGGGATTGGCACCCATGGGAGCTGCCGGGGCAGAGCCTGTGCCCGGGGCAGAAGGGATTCCCTTGTCCCCAGTAATTGGCCCGCCGTTACACTTGGCAGCAGGGACAGGCAGGAACAGAAACTGGTGGAGCCCGCGGCATAAGGCAGCAGTTCTCTGAATCGTTCCCTACGGAAGAAAACAGAAACTGAAATTAAAAGTTTGAGGAAAAAGAATAATTGAGGGGGTTTTTGACAATGTGCGCGTATATGCGTTGAAGTATGCTCAGCCTTATCAATAAACAGTAGCTTCGTGAGACGTAATACTTGGAAAAGAACACTAAGCAAAATGTCTCCTGGAATCAGTGCAAATATTTGTAGGGTTTGGGTGTGAGTTTGGCTAAGACACGACTGATGCCTTGATATCAAAAGACAAAGTCAGAGAATCCTGCCACTGATTTTAGTAAAATGGTAAAATACTGAGAACTGAAAAACATAGTTTTCAAAGGCAGAGGACTCTTTTATGGAAAAAAAAAAAAAAATTAACAATGTAAGAGGTATACTGTGAGCCTCAGGGATGGAACAGACTGCACACTATAAAAGAGAAGTATAGATCAAATAGAGTAAACCTCAGCAGGGTCAGAGGAAGAAAGAGCTGGAAGAGGGACCACAAAAGGTCACTTAATCCGTTCCCTTGCCCCAGGCAGGATGGATGTACCTAAATCACTCCTCCAGACGAGTATCTAACCTTGATTTAGTACCCTTGTCAGTCCTTTTTCTTCCTCTAAGTCCAGCCTGAATGTCTCTCCCCGCCGTTTAAGCCCATCTTCTTGTCCTCACCACCATAAATACAGAGACAAGATTGCTCCCTGCTCTTTACAGTGTCCTTAAATCTTGGAAGATCATCGCTGTGCTTCCTCCAGTCCTGGCGTTGACTTGGATTTTCCAGTTCTTTCCACCGTTTTGCCCCCACCACCGTCCCCGGCGCTCCGGTCCCGCTCCCCGCGTGCCGGCGGGGTGACACGGGTGGGACGGGACCCCGCGTGTCCCCCCGCACCCCCCGCCTGCCTCTCTGCTGCACGTCCTTCTCTTTTCCTGTCCCTCAGGTCAGTGCCGCGCTGTTGGGATCCCTTCGCGCCAGTGCCCCGCACGGGGCACGTCGAGGTCGCGCCTGACTGATCCCTACCGTCGCGTCCCCCGTCCCTGCGCTGCTCCCGTTGGCGTCACCGGCGTGGCAGGACCGACGCCGGCCCGTGGCGCTCGGCACAGCAGAACCGACGCCTCGGTGATGGGCTCCCGAAGGGCCGGGCTCTCGGGGGAGCCCAGGCAGGCCCAGCGCCGTGCCCGGCCGCCGCGGTGGGTGCCGGCCACTCGCCCCGGGGACCCCGGTGCTGGAGGGCGCAGCGCCCCGGGGACCCCGAGCCTCGGGGGGACGGCGGGGCAGAGCCGGCGAGCTTGCCAGGCGCTCCGCTTGCCGGGAGGAAGGGCGAGCGGGAAACGGGCGAAAGCACCGTCTGTTTGCCTGCTCTGGGAAGGAGATCAGTACTAGGGCCTCCTTGGCGGAACAGCATTTTCATATTGGAGGGTGTGTTCGTGTGTGTGTAAAAACCGGCATTATAATGGATAGCGCAGTTTGAGGACACTGGCGGCACAGGCCGCTTGCGAGCGGCGGTGTGCGCAGAGCTGTTTTGCTGGAGACATTTTCCACTTGCTTCCCTCCCCCTGCCTGGCTGCCTTTTTTTTTTCTCCTTTTATTTACTTTTTTCCTAGGGTTTTTTTTGCCTTTTTCTTGCCTTTATTTGTTTTTTGCAATTTTTTAACTTTTTCTTTTTTTTTGCTTTTTTAAACTTTTTGGCCTTTTTTTTTTTTCATTTTTTCCCTTTTTTCTTTTGCCTTTTTTTCTTTTGCCTTTTTTGTATTTTGCCTTTTTTTTCCTTAACTCTTTTTTTCCTTTTTTTCTTTTGCCTTTTCTTTCTTTTGCCTTCTTTTTTTTTGCCTTTTTTTGTTTTGGTCTTTTTTTTTTGCCTTTTTTAAACTTTCTTGCCTTTTTTGAACTCTTTTTTTTTTTTTTGCCTTTTTTTGGTCTTTTTTTTTTGCCTTTTTTAAACTTTTTTTGCCTTTTTTTGGCCTTTTTTTCTTTTTTTTTCTTTTGACTTTTTTTGGTTTAGCCTTTTTTTTTTTGCCTTTTTTTGGTTTAGCCTTTTTTTTTTTGCCTTTTTTTTTTCTTTTTTGCCTTTTTTTTTTTTACGGCCCTTTTTTTTTTGTTTTTTTTTTTTTTTTTGTTTTTTTTCCCTCCCCCTTTCCTGCCTCCGGCAGCGGAGGCGGCGGCGGCGGCGGGGCCGGGCACGCGTGCCGGGGCTGCGGCGCGGTGACTCATGCGGCGCCGGGCCGCTGGGCCGCGGGGAGGATGAAGGAGGCGAGGCCCCGGGGGAGGGCAGCCCGCGCCGCCGCCGCCGCTCGGCCCCTCTCCCCTCGGCGCCGCGTCGCCCGCGTCCCGGAGCCCGCGCCCGGCTTGAGGTGAGCGCCCGCGGCCGCGGCCGCCCGCGGGGCCGGGGCCGCGCTTCCGGGCGGGGCGGGGGCGGCGGCGGAAGCCGGGGCCGGGAGCCGGGGCCGCCGCCGCCTCCCGCCCGCCCGCCCGCCCGCCGCGCCGGCGGCTCTGTCAGCATGAGCCCCTGAGCGGGCCGGGCCGCCGCCGCCGCGCCCGGGCCGGGCCGCCGCCCCGCGGGTACGGTATGCCTGAGGTGAGTGCGGCGGGGGCGGCCGCAGCTGCCCGCGGCTCCGCGGGCCCCGGCCCGGCCCCCGCGGCCTCTCCCGGCGCGGCGGGGCCCGCGGGCGGCGGCGGGGCCGGGGGCCGCGTCCCGGCGGGGCCGGGGCCGGGGCCCGGGCAGGTGCGGGGGCGGGCCGGGGGCCGGGGAGGCGCGGGGGCGCCAGAAAAGGCGCAGTTCTGGAGGTTGGATTTTCTTTTCTTTTTTTTTTTTTTATGTAATCGCAGCGGGTGACTGCCGAGGGCCGCCGCCGGCGCGGGCGCTGCCCAGCGCGGCGGGGAGCGGAATCCCGGCGGGATACGCGCTCGCTGCGCTGCCCGGCCCCTCGGGACTCGCCGGGTTAACTGCGTGGAAATGGAGCGCTTTTTTCCTTTTTTTTTTTTTTTTTTTTTTTTTAGAGGAAGTTCTTGAATTCAGAACTTTGTTTGGCATCTAGTGACTGCGAACAAGTCAGTTTGTTGAGGTATTAGTATAGCGGAAGAGAAACATGCAGGGATGCCATCTGTATAAAACGGTTATTTTAGAAAAATGCACGATTCGTTCTTTAAAATAAATTATTTCTTTTGGCTTTTTTTTTTTTTTTTTTTTTTGAGGGGGGGTTAATACCGGCTGCAGGACCCGGCAATAGCAGAAGGACGCGGGTGACAGAAGCAAAGATGGTGAAACTGCAAGGGCAGGTTTAACGAAGGGAGGTCATGGCCAGGAGAGAGGGATGTCAATAATAATAAAATTGAACAAATAACTGGGCTATATCTTCTTTGGCACTGAGGAAGAAAAGATCCTAATGAAGTGGCAGTGTGTTCCAAAGTGACAACAAGGAATTAATTTGCGTAATGACTAATTAGCCGGTGGTACTCACTCCTGCAGGGGCAGCGGGAGGCGAGGGGGGCTGTCGGGCTGGGGCTGCAACTCGCGCCTGGCGCTGACCCCTGCCAGGCCTGCCTGCCCAAAATGCCATCGCAATTGCGAGTGGATAAAAGAGGAAGAAAATCAAGGCTTGGCGTCCCCCGTTCCGCTGCAGTGGGTGACAAAACGGCTGAATGTGGCAGGCTGGGACGTAGCGGCGCGAGAGCCGGGGGGGACGGGGGTCTCGGGGGGACGGGGATGCCGGGCTCAGCTCTGCGCCTGCGCCGTGTGCTTTTGCAATTTAAATTTTGTGAGGCCTGCGCTGCTCTGCTTTCCTTGGCTCGTGCCGGATCAGGCATAGACCAGAACGTTGTGAAATGGAATTGGGCTTCCCTGGATTTAAAGGCTGGGCTGCTGAGCTACACAACCTCTTTAGGCGCAGTGGAAGCAAAAGATGTTTAAATAGAAAAGCGATGGCAGTGACTGAACGTTCTAAGTTTTATAACCAGTTAGCCTCCAGACTTGAGAAAATTTTGAAGAATTATTGCCCTCTATGTTGTACCAATGATTTAACGGTAATTGTGGAGTCTGCCTAGCTAATGTGACACCTAAAAGTACAGGACTGTGCAGTTGTTATTTATGCAGGCTGCTGAAGGAAGACACGCCGGCAACAGATTTCTTAATCGGATACATGAGAGAGAAAGTGACGGGGCATATTTATTGTCTCATTTCCTTAAAGTCATCATTGGATTAAATTTATTTTGAATGGCAGGAAAGGGTCTGCGTCCAAGGATGCTTTGTTGTACTACGAGGCAGTTGAATCAAAGGGCAAACCCGAGGCATTATGTGAGGAATTTGTAATTCACTTGAGTGAGGAAGCAGTGTCAAAGCTGGCCTGTGACAGCTCTCCTCGGCTGCGGTGGAGGGTATGGCTTCCATACATCCCCTGCCCAGCGCCGGCGTTCCCTGCCGTGGGAACAGCCTGGCTTTGTCATTTCTTTTCATTTACTCACAAAATCCTCCTTTATGCTCGCTGTCTCAGAAGCGTTGTGAAGTACAGCTGTGCCACGTGCCGGCTAGGCACGAGCTTCGTGTTTTTCTGGGCTGGAAGCTGGATGGCAGACACGGGAAATGGCCGGTTCGGGCGTATCCGATGCCTGCCTACCGCCTCAACCTGTGCCCTGCACCATGGTGGCAGAGGATGTTGGAGTTCTAGATCTGGTGGATTAACAAGGCAATGGGTGGTCTCCAGGAGTATCAACAAAACAGTTTAGTTAGTGGAAGCAGAGAATTTTAATTTAAAACTTCTCTGGTCTACTCCTGTCTAATTGCGGAAGCAATCATAATTCAGAATAGCCTTTAGCAGAGGATTTTCCCTAGGCTGCGGTCGGCGTGTGTTGGCGCGAGGGCTTTCAGCCCGGCTCATCCCGCTGCGCTGTAGGAGGTCGGGACAGCGTGATCCTGAGCAGGGTGCTGGAGCTGGGGCGTAGCAGGGTGCTGCGCGGGTGTCTGGGGTACCTCGCCATCGCAGCAGCCGCAGCACGGGCACCTCGCAAGGGCTGCGGCTGCGCGCCGGGCACCCAGCCCTCCGCTGCTGCCGGCCGTGGCACGGAAAAATTTCAGGGGTTTTTGCTTTAGGCTGGCAGCGTTCTTGGTTCATTCTGTTTTGGGAAGTTCAGCAGTATAATCGGAAACCTGTAAGTGCGAATCGAGCTGCTTCAAGCCTCAAGTGTAGACTTTTATTTCCAGTTTTGGAGAAAGGTTAGTTTTCTTTTGCATTACTCCACCTTTGAATTTTACTACTGTGTTGCTTCACTAAGTCTCAGATGATGTTCATCATTTTCTAATACTACTAGGTAATAATTACTGAGTTTATCTATATTCTTCCTATAGCAAGGCCAAGGATTGAGTAAACTAACATTTTTAGACACCTCCATGACAAATACCACACGCTGATAAGCATTTGAAAGTCGCAGGTGCTGCTGTTGCTCTCTTTTAAAACCCATTTTGCGTAGAGGTTTGTGCTTGTCCAGTTTGCACGCCTCAGGAGCACTGAAAATGCTACTTTCCAAAATTCCCTAAGCAGGGAAGATACCACTGAAAAGAATCTGTAATGGTGTTCACTGCAGTCTGCCCTGCAGAGGACTGGTAAATACAGTGTTCCGGGGCCTTGGCAGAGTGTGTGAGCCGCATCGCTTTGCATTCCTGTGTCAGGGGCAAATCTGGCTTCTCTGAACTTAGAGCCCATGTATACTGGAAACCTGGAAAATAATTGTGAAGTACAGGCGATGGTCATGCATCACACCAAACAGCCGTTATTTTGTTTGCCCAGGGGAGTTAAAGCCGCGTGGTTTTTACCGTACTGCCCAGGATGGGTTGTGTGGCCACAGTAAAGGTTCTTACAGTGTGGTGTAGATGAAGATCTCATGGCCAGTTCACATTAAAATAAACACTTTCCTCTCTGTTTTTATTTCCTTTAAGTACTTGTTCTATTCTGCTGCTTCAGATTTAAGGGGGCGGTGGTAATGACCCAGGAATGCCTGTAATTAGGGGGATGAGCCTTAGCACCTCCTGATGTCCAGAGTAGAAGATGATTGCTACTTAGGAACCGCATGGATAAGGTGCGAACATCATTTTTCTAACACTGAGGAAGTCACACGTGTGTTGGATTATTAAAAGATGCCTTGCAGTAACTATTCATTACTTTCAAAGGCTTAATATGTGTTTTCCCTTGCCTTGTGCACATTTTAAATGCAAATGCTATGAAGAGGTGACTGCTGTTAACAAAGACCAGCTCATTAAGATAAAACTGCAAAAAAAGTTCTGTTCCCTTTTGGTGCCATATTTTTGTGATTTTTGACCATGATGAGGATGATTTCCGTAACTATGAATGTTTATCAAAAAATTCCTGCAGCTACTCCCATCCATAAGGAATTTTACTGTGGTTGTATTTTGTATGTTTTTATGACGGTTTTCCAGTATGAACAAGGAAGGACTCTAATGGCAGCAATCAGGCGTTGCCTGAAATAATGTGGTTTTGTACTGTCGCTCGTTGGTGAGCAGTGACAGAATGACCCTGCCCACAAACGTGCAGGTGCTGCCCCAGGGCTCGGGGAGCTGCCGGAGCGGGAGCACAGCTCGCCTGGGGGGATCCAGGCTTTTGGTGAATGTGCTTTACCCACCCGGGCGCTGTGGGGTGGGGGCTCAGGCTGGGGTGGGGCGCGTCCCCCGCGACTCCTGCGCTCAGCCCGCGCCGGGTGGGGGACAGGCAGAGGCTCCAGGGTTCCCTTTGCCTGCCTCTCTGGTGGTCTCGGCTATTTGTGTTCCTTGGGGATTAGAGCAGATGCCTATGATTATTATTTTTTATTTTATTTTATTAACAATTCTATATTGTAAACTTAGTTTTCCAAGTAATGCAGCAAAGTAAACAACATTTCCTTCCTACTACCCCCTA